TTTATTTATTTTTTTTTTTTTTTTTGTGGTACCAGTAATTGAGCTTGGAACCTTGAGCATGCCAGGCAGGCACTTATGCTGCTGAGCTGTCTTCCTGGCCCTGGATACAGTTTTTAGCCTCAATTCTTTTTTTTCTCTTTCTCCTTTTTGCAGTACCAGGGATCAAACTTGGGACCTTGTGCTTGCCAGGCAGGTGCTTATGCCGCTGAGCTATATCCCTGGACTTTATCTACAACAGGTGGCCTTCATACAGTTTTATATAAATAGGAAAATCTTGAAGAAGACAGGAAAACAATAAAACCAAGAAGTATAGTACATAAAGATAAATCACTTTTCCCCCGCATCTTGTACAGCAATTAACCACTAAGAAGAACATATGCAGTGTATTATTTGTTGAAAAAAAAAAAAAGATAAAATTTTTCAGAAAAATTGCAAAAAAAAAAAAATAAAATAAAATAAAAAAAATCACTTTTCCTACCTGCAGTCAAACTCAGGACCTTGCACTTGCCAGACACACACTTATGCTGCTGAGCTATATCCCCAGCCCAAAACATACCTTTCTTTCTTTTTTTTTTTTAATGGTACTAGAAGTTAAACTTGGGACCTTGTGCTTGCTGGACAGGCACTTATGCTGCTGAGCTAACTCCCCAGCCCCAACACTTTTCTTTATGAGTCTGTCTTCTTTTTTTCTGAGACAGGGTCTCACTATGTAGTTCAGGCTGGCCCTGAATTCACAGTGTAGCCCTGGTTGGCTGTGAGCTCACGGCAATCCTCTTGCCTCAGCCTCTCAAGTGCTGGGATTATAGGCATGCAGCACCATTTTTGGCTTCTCTCTCTTTTTCTTTAATGCCCAGGGAAACTCCCAAACTAAGGAAAAGAGCAAACAGACTCCCCTACCTCTTTTAGCTGCCAAGGAAAATAGGACTTTTGCTTGTCAAGTGACATTGTTTCTTTGGCTTTAAGATAATGTGTAACTAGGAGTATGACTCAAGAACTGCCACATTAACTTTTCATCTGTGCTGTCATTTCTGATGTACTATACTTGAATAGGCATTTGATTTTTAATGTACTTAAAAGAATCATAAACTACCAAGATGTTTCTACTATTTTCCCAATTGACTAACATTTTATGTTCTTTTTTTTAATTCTTAAATGAATGCTATTGCAGACTTCAAATGTCAGACAAAAGCCCATTTAGACTACTTCTTCAACAAAGAATGATAGTTGATGAAACATTTTAAAAGTCACTGAGTGCTAAGTTTTCTTCAAGGTGATACATTTATTAGCGATTCTTAGTACCTATAACATAGCTCTTTTTTGAATTTCTTTTAAATTGATAATCATATTGTACCAGCTATTTATTATACTCTGCACAATTGAAAATCAGATATCTTTTTGTCATTATGTATATATTTTCATTTCCAGGGATGCTTGGAGTTCATTGGGTGATATGACTAAAGAAGAAGCCATGATTGCATATGTGGAAGAAATGAAAAAGGTTAGGAAAAGAATTCATAGCAGACATTAAAAATATTCAAAACAGCACTCATTTATTTATATTAGACAAATAGTTGCTTTCTTTTAGGAATTTGTAGAAATATAAATTATTAAATTTTTTTAGAGCTTTATTTAAGTATATCTTCAGATGAGTGTTTTTTCCTTAAGATATATTACATTGTATTTCTGTTAGTCAGCCTTTGTGACCAAATACCTGACAAATACAGCTACTGGAGGAAACATTTTGGCTTGCAGTTTCAGAGGTTTTTGTCCATGTTTGGCTGGCTTCTAGGCAGAAAAATGGTGGAAGGTTGTGGCATAGCAGTGCTACTTCCCTTCTGAAGGCATAAAGTACAGAATGACAGAAAAAGCCAAAGAGTAAGATGCCAGGGATAAGTTCCAGTCTCAATCACACCTTCATGACCCACTGCCTTCAACTATGTGCTACATCCTTTCTTTCTATCAGTGGATTAATCCCCATCTCCGAACACATGCGACTTTGAGCAACACCGTAGGCTTAGGCTCTAACAGTGGTGATAAGGTATTTTAGGGTCATCCCCCCCCTGCCACCCCATGTTCTCTGACATTATGTGGTTGACTATAGGAGGAAAGGAAGTATGGGAATAGAAATCTTTAAAAATATTACTCAAGAGTTGGAGAAATACTGGGACTGTCTTGAAAACATTTCTGCTGTGGAACACTTTATTAAGAGAAATAGTTAACAAGATTTCTCAACAAGATTCTTTTACAAGTTTTATGTCACAAATTAAGGTATTTCCTTCAAGCACACAGGAACAAACATATGTCTATGAATGCATAGATTTTTCAAAAGCAGAATAAGATAAGGATACTTTTAGGTTTCCTGCTAATCACTGAGGAGGGATATCCCTTGTTAAGTAGCTCTTTTAAGTTTATCGGAAGCATTGTTTTAAGGAACACAGTTATGAACAAATCCTGGATTTTAAAGATCTTCAAGCCTTTATAAAACACTATTTTTGTGGTAGACAGGGCTCATAATTTGTGAAATATTAAATAAATTATCTTTGACCATAAAAATCCATGTTAAAACTAGTTTTTGCCAGACTGCTTGACAGATTTAACTTTTGTAGCAATTTCTACTTGGTAGATTAAGACCAGTATTTTGTGTTGTTTTCTTTTTCAGTCTCTTCCATGCTGTTCAATATTGTGCCCTTTGTTACATTTTCACAATTTTATTTTGTGAACTTTGTAACAGAGGGCAGCATTTCTTTGGCTGTTAACCGCTATCAAGTAAAATGATAAGGGCTAGCCAAATAGATCAGTGGATTAAAACATCTGCTTAGGCTGATGCAGGGGCTAGGGATTTGATCCTTGGGCCTGCCGATCCCAGGCCTATCGTGCCAGTCCTGCACCCAAGGCAGCAATTGAGACTGGGCATGGTGGCGCATGCCTATGATCCCAGCACTTGGGAGGCTGTAAACAGAAGGATCACTATAAGTTTGACCTACTCAGTGAGACTCTGTACACCCTGTAGAACCTGTCCTAAAATTACAAATAAATAAATAAATAAATAAATAAAATGATCATAAGGGAGCCTTTCAGAAATGGATATTCTGAAGCCCTTTTGACTGCTGTTTAGTTTTCTGTTTTGTCTTATTTTTTGAGATGGGGGTCTCACTGTGCAGGTTAGGCTGGCCTTGAACTTGCTTATGTAGCCCAGGGTGGCCTCAAACTTGCAGTGACCCTCAACTCAGGAACTCGGCCTCCCAAGTGTTGGGATTACAGGCATACGCCCCTATGCCCAGCTGGTATTCTTTACCTTAATAAAATTGTTATAACCTTTAGGATACCCTATACATTGTAAAGTTGTGTTGCTATATTTTGTAAAGTTTAGCCATTTTTTGCATCCACTTTTATTAATGATGAAGCCATAGTTTAAAGTGAGGAGATGAAATAATGTATAATTTGCTATTTTTCCTAAAAACAAAAAACAAAAACTAAAACTAGCTGGGTATGGTGGCATATGCTCATAATCCCAGTACTCTGGAGGTGAGGTAGGAGGATCACTGTGAGTTTGAGGCTGGCCTTAACTACATAGTGAGTTCAAAGTCATCCTGAGCTATAGAGCAAAACTCTATCTCAAAAAACAAAGAAAAATTACAGATTTAAACTGGAGTGCAAAAATATCAAATCAGATTTATACTCTAAAGAGTAACTCTAAAGCAAAATAGCACAGTGAATTTTCAGCCTTTTTTTTTTTTTTCCGGCAGAACTGGGGATTGAATTCAAATTTAAACTATACTGCTTCCTTATATAGCATCTTAAAATATGTATACTGCCTATGGATTCTTCTCTAGTTAGAATGTAATATACTGTTTTCATTCAGGCATTTAAAATTTTGTTTTATATTATGAATACAACAAATAAAGTGTATTAGGATAACCTTAGATTGAAACTTTGGTTATTGAATTATTTTCACAATTTAGCTTTATAGATATCAATAGATAAAATTGCATATTTTAAAATAATCTTGTGGAACTGAAAGTATCCCCCAAGTTTTATTAGATTTGAGATTTTTTTATATCTACAATAATTTATTAACTGAAGCAGTTATTATATTATGCTCTTAAAAATATGGCTGAGGGGCAGGGGAAATGGTTCAGTGGAATAAGCATTTCCCTGGCAAGCCCAAGGGACTGAATTCAGTCCCCAGTTCTGCTAGGAAAAAAAAAAAAAAAAAAAAAAAAGGCTGAAAATTCACTGCTATTTTGCTTTAGAATTACTCTTTAGAGTATAAATCTGATTTGACATTTTTGCACTCCAGGTTTAGGAAACTTACTTTACATATTATAATGGATAATGTTTGGTAGAAAATTGTTTTTCATAATTCCTAAATTGTACAGTAAAGTATTGATGGAAAGAAAAATTCTCTTAGCTTTGAGGAAGTTGGGTAATTCAGGTAATATAGCTTTGAAGGAAATATCCATGTTTCTTTAAATAAAATTTATTTTGGTTCCTAATCATAGTGAAGTATAAGTAATATGTTTTGTACAAATTTTCCACATTATTTTGTGGAGAAATTCAGAATAATGAGCCAACACTTGAATAATGTATGTGTGTGAATCTCTGATATTTAGAGAGATTAGAGTACTGTACTCAACATTGGCTGCCTGTTGGAAGCATTAGTACAAATGCCTCAAGATGACCCAAACTAATTATTTCAGGATTTCTGAAGGGATGGGATAATTAGTGTAATAGGAGAAATAGAGCAGAGGCTTGTGAAGAATAGAGCCACTAAATTAGTTACCACATCTAGAACCTGAAAGTTAGCCATGGCTAAAACATTGGTTTTCTCCGAGTACCAAGGATTGACTTGAGTTTTGAGGTTTGACTCGTGACAGCCCTCTGTAGGAGATTGAGGGAAAAGTTAAAATGTGAGTTTCTTAGAGTAGAATAATGAGTAGAGCATATTCAGGTTTAATACCTAGGATATTCCCCAACAGGTCAGAAACACTTAGGACCTTGAATTAGTGATCACTAAGACTGTTGAGCAAAGAGTGGAGCACCAGGACTTGGTGGCTTTAGATACATTCTTCTCAGACATCCCTCACACACCTGAGGAATTTAGTCTTTGCTTTAATAAGACATGTATGTACAGTTCCAGCATATTTTTATTGTCTAAAAATGATGTCCTTCAATAAGGGAAGTATTGGGTAAGTATAAAAAAATTACTGTGCTTTAGATACTGTTCTAGAGTCCATATATTTGGGTTAAAATAGTCTTCATTTGGGTAAGTAACGATATTTTGAATTAATTTAATTGCCCTAAAACTTTAAACGGGGTGTTTTGGGCACAGAACTGAAATTTCAGTAACTCTGGGGATTGAGACTGCAGAGTCACAAATTTGAGGCCAGCTTGGGCAATTTTGTAAAACTCTCTAAAAATAAAAAGCATGTGGTTCAGTGATAGGACTGACTTCTCACTGCTACCAAAAAATGTTTTCTCAAAAATAAAATCTGAGGAGATGGGAAGGTTGGGATGAGATTGTAGCTCAGTGGTAGAGTGTTTGCATAGCATGTGAAACCCTGGGTTCAATTCACAGTACTACCAAAGGATAAGCAGAAATTACCAGACTAAGTCTTGTTTTGTGTTTAGTGGTGTGTGTGTGTGTGTGTGTGTGTGTGTGTGTGTGTTTTCCAGTACTGGGGACTGAACTCAGGACCTTGCACTTGCCAGTCAAGTACTTAGGCCACTGAGCTAGCTCCCTGACCCTATGTCTTTGTGTTTCTATCTCTTGTATGCCTACACATATATGTGCCATATCTTATATTTAAGCATTGCTGTGAAGGGGAGAATTTTTGTGGAGTACTTGTGCCTCTCCTTATACAAACATCTGGCTTCCTGCTCCAGCTACTTCTGCTTCAGTGCTTCAGCCTCACATTCCTAAACAGTCACTCGGTCTTTCTTGTGGATGAAGGTTGGCTTAAGGCGAGGCTCCATCTATCTTAACTGTCTGTGTACTGTTCATACTCAGACTCTGATTCTGACTTTTCTCCAGAACATCCTTCATCCTCCACCTCCATGACTTCCATGTCTTCATTTTTTTTTTTTCCTGTGCTTGCTGATGCATCATGCCACGGTGCCACTCTATTTCCTCATCATCAGTCTCTTACTCTTTTTTTTCACTGCAATCTTCTCGTTCCACGCGCCAAGCATCTCCTTTTCCTTCTGAGTCACTTTCTCCCACCACTTCAGGTTCCACTATTTTCCGATGTTGAGCCAATCTCTCTTTTATGTCTTCACTAATCTGATTCTGTAAGCTGCAGCTGGGGTCACTTAGAGGAATCTTCTTCCTGCTCCTCAGGCTTTGCATCTTGCTTCTTGTTCTTTGGCTTTTTTTTTTTTTTTTGTGGAACTGGGGCTTGAACACAGGCCTTTGCGCTTGCCAGGGAAGCTCTTATTCTACTGAGCCATCTCCCCAGCCCTGGCTTTCTTAATGAATTGAAATTCTTCATCTTGGGGCCGGGGAGATGGCTCAGTAGGATAAGCACTTGACTGACAAGTGCAAAGATCTGAGTTCAATCCCTGGTTCCGCCAAAAAAAGAAATTCTTCATCTTCAGCTGATGACTCCATAGGAGCGTAGTCTGGCCTCTTTCCAGACACGTAATGTTTTGCCTTTACTTTCTCCATTAAAATCTCACCTTTCTCATTGTGGACTGGGATGCCCCGGCCGTAGACTGAATAGGAAGCAGTTGTTTCATGAATGAGCTTGGGACAGACATGTTGGAGTCCTCGAACTTGACGGATTCCAAACACTGAACACGTAGGAAGAGGAGAAGAAAAACTCCTTTCGCTCTACGTGCAACCGACACAACTGCTCGATATTTATCTGTTTTGTCTTTTTGAAAAAGGGTCTCAAAATACAGTTCAGCCTGGCCTTAAACTTGCTTTACAGCCCAGGCTGGTCTGGAGCTCACAGTGATACTCCTGCCTCAGCTTCCTGATTGCTGAGATTATAGGCATGTGCCACTACAACAATTTTTGCAATGACTAAAATTATATCTTTTTAATTGCTGATTTTTTTTTTAAGGATACAAAATAGTGATAGAAAAAAATTAGAAATGATACAAGATTTCACTAAACAAAGTAACAGGAATTCAACAATGGTTGCTATCTTTAAATTAGTTGTTCAGGAGCTGGCAAGGTAGCACAGTGGTCAAAAGTGCCTGCTTAGGCAAGTCTAGGCAGGCACGGGACCACAGTTCAATCCCTGGCACCACCCTCAGGGTGGGCTGAACTGACAAAACAAAACATTAAATTAGTTGTTCAGATTGCCAGATATTAATGTGTAAGATTCGTTTAAAGGAAAACAAAACAAAACAGAATGAAGTTATAAGAAATTCAAAAGAGGAAAAAAAAATCGGAGTTAAAAAAATTCTTTAAGCATTAATCACTCCTTTCAAAAGACCAGCAGAAATTGACAATACAATTGTACAAACTATTCTTATATTTGCATATATATATTTTTTTCTTTACATTTATATGTTGACTTTTTTTATTTTAGGGAAGGGCCTACAGGGTATTCAGGGTCTCACTACTAGATCTTGACTCGTAGTTATCTGCCTGTGTACAGCCTTCCAAGAGCTGGGATTATAGGTGCATGCCACCACACACAGTCTCCATTAGTGTCTCTGTGTGCCCTGGTGGCAGGGCAGGCACGGCAGACCTGGGGATCGAACCTTCAGCCCCTGGGCCTGCTTGCAGACACTTTAATCTGCTGAGCTATTTGGTCAACCCTAAAGATTGGGAGGATTTCTTTCTTTCTCTCTCTCTCTCTCTCTTTTTTTTGGTACTGGGGATTGAACTCAGCACCTTGTGCTTGCCAGGCAGGTACTTATACCACTGAGCCATCTCCCTGGTGCCTTATGTGCTGACTTTTGACGTTTCTTCTTCAAAGAGAATTTCATAAGTTCTTTGTATCTTATGATGGCCATTTGTTTTCTTTCTGTATCAATTACTGAAATTCTAGTTTATGGAAATTGTGGTTTATTCTCTGGTTAGGTTTGGTGTGTACTTCACTAATGAGTTCTGCCAATTCATAATTCATTCTCTTGCCTTATGATACATAAGAAATCCAAAGTCTGAATTGACCAGCTCTCTAGTTAGTACAAATTTGAGAAACAGTTTTTGTTGGGCTGGGGGGATAACTTTAAATTAGACATAAATTATATCTAAAGGAGAGATAACTAAAATAGAGGAGAACCAATGGACGTGTTAAATGGGGATCAAGATGAGATACATGGTTGTCTAATCTGAGTGTACTAAGTTGGTCTTCATATTGAGATGGTATAGGGTAAGCAGAAAGAGTGATGTGTTTGAATTATATCTCTGCCATTTGTTAGCCATAACTTTGGTTATATCAGAATAAATATTAACCCATGGTTTTAGTTTTTTGTTTCAATCTAATTCTTAGAATTATTACTAGAATCCAAATATGCTACCACTTAAATATAGTGTAAAGTTATAAAATTGCCCCTTTATGATTCCAGCCTTATAATAGATATTTCTTTTAGCAAGAAGAAATTTTGTGGGATGGGGAGATAGCTCAGTGGCATAAGTGCTTGCCTGGCAAGTACAAGGTCCTGAGTTTGATCCCCAGTGCAAAAATCAATCAATCGATCAATCAATCTTGTGATATAAATCTTTTTTTTTTACTCCTGTCCATTGAAAAGAGCAGCAATTAGATAAGTTACTGTTAGCTATCAAATTAAATTATAATCCCTAAAAACACTTAATATAATCCAGTCTATATAGTCTCTCTCTTAACTTTCTTCCCATAAATGTGAGCCGCTGTGGTGGTGTTGATGGGCATTGTCTCAGCTCAGAATCATGTAAGAGGGCTGGGAGATAGCTTAGCAGCATAAGGTCCTGTGTGGCAAGCACAAGGTCCTGAGTTCAATTCCTAGCACCAAATAAATAAATAATCATATCAGAGTTGCTTATCATTGTAGATGACTGATGATCTTTTCTGTATCAGTTTTAGAAATAAAAGCATGTTTGAACACGAACTTCAGGGTTTTTTTGTTTGCTTGTTTGTTTGTGTAGTTGGTACAGTGTCTTACTATGTAAATTGGACTTGTGTGATCTTCCTATTCTCAGCCTCCTCAGTGCTCTGGAAATTACAGGTGTGTACCACCACACCCAGACTCACATCTTGCTGGCCCAAGAACTTCAGGGTTTTAAACTACGTGGTTTTATTAAATGCCTTCTATGTGTCAGACACTACAAAAACAGGAAAAGCAAAATTACAAGAGGGCTCCTCTTACTGAGCTTATATATTCTGTGGAAGATAGGCAGTAAATCAGGATTAAGCAGGGAGAGTGAGTAGGGAGACCAGGGCTGCTGTGAGTTTTAAAGGTCCAAAGTAGCCATACATTTAAAAACTGTATAAACAGCCTGGCAAGGTGGCACACACTTGTAATCCCAGTGCTCGGGAGGCAGAGGTAGGAGTTTGAGACCAGCCTGGGCTACACAGTAAATTCAAGGCCAGTCTCAACTACTTAGCGAAACTGTCTCAAAAACAAAAACTCTGAAAAAACTGGATAAGCTGAAAAAATATACAAGAATGATAAAGGATTATACTTTATTTTATTATTTTTCCCCATAATTTTATTGAGAAA